AGTTTAATAGAACGTCGAGTACGGTTTTTTTATTAAACAAATTGTTGAGTTCTTCAGCTAATTCTTATTGTTGCTTAACAACATTTGCTCATGCTCAAAATTTAAGCGGCCATTGCGTGTTTGGTAGCGAGACTTTTTCTTTCGAGGAAAATTTTGAATTGTTCGTATTACTGTTTTTCTAGGAAAGCCAAATGGTTTAGATATACACGCTTTTGTTGTGCCGCTTTTAAAAAACCCGATAATTTGGCCACGTTCAGCTTCAGCTAGACTATAGCATAAACATTTTAGCCCAATTATAATGTGCACTTTTAAGTAATTAGTAGTTAGGGTGTCCGATAGCGATAGTCTGAACAATTATCGAGTTTGAGACTATGCCTACATGTACTAAGTCATTTGTTTTCACACATTACCCGATTTTTTATCCTATTAGTGCTCGTTTATCTATTTTGTTTCCCATCAAACCAGATGTTTTATGACGGAGACTCGGTTGTATGGACTAATTATCAGCGCAGCATCCGAGTCGACTAACGAACGTTGTCGTCGAGATTCCTAAAGAGTATGTCGTTAATGATTTCGACGGCAATCGTCGTGGATATATTCTGTCGTTTGAAACTGCTGGACAAAGTGAAGTGACTGATGTAGAAGAAAGGGTCTATGTATCATTTATCAAGATGACGTTGTGCAAAAGCCAGAGGAAATTAATTATACCAGAGCACCATTGTGGGAGGATACGGAAGCGCGTTGAGTGGTTTAAACCGTCTGGTACCCCTAGTGTTGCTATACAATTGGAGTCATGAGTGAAGATCGGATGCGAATGGTTGTTAGTAGTTTGAGAAGAATATTAAAAAGAACAGCGAATTACATCAGTAATCATCGTAATAAGTCTTACGACACAGAACTTGCGTTTATTTGCAATAAATAAATCGGTACAGGTGTACGTAGGTTATGGCTCACAACTTTCTCTTTTGAATCCAACGATTAAAGAAGTCTAAACCTGTTTGAGGGTTGGTCGTGAGGTACCATATGACCAGCCTCAAAGACTCTAAGCCAAGTTAATAATCCTGAGCTTCTGACATTGCCTGCCCATGTCTTAGATGCATCTTCAGTAATCCACTTTTCATCCTTGGCAGCTTTGAATGCGTTTTTACCAGACCATTCGATCTGAAACTCTAACATCCTCCATTACCGGCAGCAGTTCATCTTGGGCAGCACGAGCTGCATCCTTTGCATTGCGTATCGCCGACACTTTTGCAATATTATCTTCAAGAAGTGCTATTTCCACTTGTAGATTACGAACGGCTGGGGCAGGAAATTTTCTTCGGGTGATGCGGCACCAATATCGTTTAACGCTTTTACAGCTTCCGCAAGTGATTTACGGAACTCGTATGCTGCGGGAAGAACTTTTGTCGTTACTATTGACCGAAGCGTGCTTGCTTCAATCAGTTTTTGTGATTGAGTCGACTGGGAGCCTTTTGTATTTTTGAACAGCGACTGGTACATAAGTGATCGTTTTCAGAGAGAGCAGTCAAAATC